AAATATTTAGCTAGCTACCTAAATATTTAACTTAAATATTTAGCTAGCTACCTAAATATTTAACTTAAATATTTAGCTAGCTACCTAAATATTTAGCTAGCCACCTAAATATTTAACTTAAATATTTAGCTAGCTACCTAAATATTTAGCTTACAACATAAATATTTAGCTTGCAAATTAAATATTTATCTAGCTACCTAAATATTTAGGTACAACTTAAATATTTAGCTAGCCACCTAAATATTTAACTTGCTAGCTAAATATTTAGCTCAAAACTAAATATTTAAGTCACAAGTTAAATATTTAGTTTGTTAACTAGATATTTAATAAGTTAAATATTTAGTTTATAAACTATGAGATTTATAAATGTATGAATCATATGGTGAAAAAGTCACTTTGAAAAATAAATCTGTTCTTTTTTTCTTATAAAAGGCTAAATAAAACAAAAATATTGGTGGCAATTTTTGACTGTGTAACGTTACCAATGGCACCCCATATATTCCCACTGCCAAATGGTAATAATGCTTTTTTTTTTGTACTTCGCAAACAGAAAAAATAGCTCCAACTCTGTCGTTTTTACAGACAGTGAGCTAACATTTGGTATGGTAGTAGCTGAGAGTCATGAAATCACAGTATCATATTTTCTAAGTTTGACGAGAATGACAATATCACCTCCTACAACAAACTGATCTTAGGCTAAACAACAGTGGCTGATAAGTTCCTTTAGGGAAAGCCAGGTCATTTGATAAAATATCTTTTGTTTGTTAGTAATAAAAGTGGCGCTGGAGTATTTCTACCTCCAGCTGCTGTTGTTTCCCTGCAGCTTTCATATAAATGGTGGCCATTCGTTCAGTCAAGACGGAGAGCGAGGACCTCATGGTCAGCTGGTCCACTGAGTTTGAGTCCACAGGATCAGCAGTGGGATCCTGGATGAAACTCGTCTGCAGATCAGTGATTTCTTTCTGCACATTCTGCAGCTCTTCTATGAGACCCTGCATACAACAACCAACTGATAAGGAAACAGTTCAGAAAAATACATTTCAAACTTTAATGGACTAATAGTCATTTTATCTGCTGCTTTCATCAACATAAACAAACACTGAGCAGTGCACAGCAACTTTACAGTATAAAAAGGTATGGATATGACTTCTACTTGCTAACTAGTGATTATTATCATGATAAGCCTGATTTAATCTGTTGGTAAATCGGAAAGAAAAACACATAATTCTGATTATCTTTTTATTCGAAACATTAGTTGTTAGAAGAAAACAGCTAAAAACTAACAGACCTAACAACAACGTGTCTGAAAAATCACAAAATGATTTGGAGGCTTTGTTTTAAACTAAACAAATTTATTCAAAAACAATTTCTCTAAAATATTTTCCCTCACAACAGTCTTACATACAGTATGTACCAAAGACCTTAAACATCTAAACACCCACCTGATGTGTGTTCATGTGTCTAAACCCACCTGATGTGTGTTCATGTGTCTAAACCCACCTGATGTGTGTTCATGTGTCTAAACCCACCTGATGTGTGTCCATGTGTCTAAACCCACCTGATGTGTGTTCATGTGTCTAAACCCACCTGATGTGTGTCCATGTGTCTAAACCCACCTGATGTGTGTTCATGTATCTAAACC